ACAAATTCAAAGGGGTTCATTTTGTTTATTTATTTTCCCTTCAAACTTTATCTATATGGGATGTGGGTGAGATGAATGAGATTCCCTCTCAAAGATAGAAATAGATAGAGAGAGATAGTGGTGGGGAATCTTGAAACGTGAGGGTTAAAAGAGTGGACTGTGGAGATCACATGTGGAATATAAGAAACAGCACTTGATAACTTTGGCACACACAGACATTTAAAAAGTGATATGATCAGAAAAAAAAAAAGCACTAACAAACATGGACATGAAATATAATCATCCTCCTCTCCCACATCAATTACCATCAACAATATCATATCATATATTTTATTCTCGAAAAATAGAGGACCTGTTTGATAATGTTCACGTGTCTTGTTTTTCGTTTCTAATTTTCTCAAGAAATCTAAATATTTGTACGATCAATCAGGATGAAACGGAACATTATCAAATGAGTTTTGTTTGTTAATGTTTTTTGTGGTGGACCCATTTAGTACTAGTTTGTGGAGGAGACAGCAATCTTAGGCGTCCTTTCACATAAAGTAAAAGATGACTCATGATGCTAAAACTAGCATCCAGCATCCACCACCCCCATTTCCCCCTTTTCCCCACCTTTTTTAGAAATTGCTTTTCCAATTCTAATTTTAATTTTTTATTTTTCGGTGGTGTGGTTTAACAAAACCACTATCTGTATGCAATGCAATAATTTATTAAAGTTTTGTAAGTAAAAATTCCCAGCAACTTTTTATCTGCTCTCGACCCAATTTCTCTTTCTCTCTCTCTATAAAGTTTCTCAATGATGTTGGTCCAACTCTGACAGTCTTATGTAATTAATGTCGCCCCCTCCATAAATTATTTTACAATTTTCTTTTTTGTCCTATTATCATTCATTAAAAAAAAAGTATTTATACAGACAATTACTCGAAATTAAAAAGATGGATTTTGAAGGGTTGTGATCATTTTGATATATTTATTTGATGGGGACAAATCGTAACAATTGGACGGCTGGGATTTTGAGCTTGTGAATTGAACCGAGATAATTAATTTTAGTTAATTCGAATAAATTTGATTGTAAGAAATGGAGAAAGGTTCAAAGATCGTGGCAACGTCTCACACGCAAGTCGCGTGATTTATTTTATTTAATAGGAAAAAAAAAAGAAAAGAAAAAAAGCGACAAGTCGGTTACGCCGTACCCGAAACCCCCCACTCTCCTTACGTGCGTCAACTGGTGCGCGATGTCACGTGGCAGATACTCGCCATGTCAGTAATTTTAATTTAACAAATAACAACTCCTCCGTTATCTTTTTTTTTTTTCCATCACTCGGGAAATTAGTAAATAAATAATATTAAGAACCAATCCAATATTCCGTTGGACAGCGGGTATCCCGGAATTGCCCTCGTAAGTTTCCTGAAATTACGGGATTGACCAGATCCCTGTTTGTTTTGCTTTTACCTATAAATACAACGCTCCGGATTAAATCTGCCGAATACCATTATATGCACAGGCCGTTTCATTTCTCTCTCCAGGAAAAGTTTTCTTAAAACCTGAATTTCGAGTTCCGAGAAGAAGAATTTGTTAAGAAAGAAGCCAAGAGCCAGCGCGGAACTGAGAAGAAAGAAGAAGAAGAAGAGCATATAGAGAGATCGATTCATTTAGGTTAATTGTGAGGGAATTCGGTAGTGTTATGTGAAATAGGTTTTCGCTTAGATATGGGATACGGAGCGCCATTAACAGGATTCAGTGGTAATGCTGCGTCGGAGGCTCTGTTTCCGCCGTATAATTCTGTAGCGATCGATTCGTTTCCTAAAGCGGCGGTGGCCGTCGATACCGCCGCTGTCATGAAGTCCGACAGCGGTATTACCTGTAACCTTCCGATACCGAGAAAGCGGGCAAGGGATCATTCCACCATCAACCGATTGCTCTCGACCTCTTATCCTTCGCCTGCTCATTACCAGAAAAACTGCGGATGTTTTTATTTTCTTGGCGAAGATATCTCCATCCAAATTCAACAGCAGCAATTTGATCTCGACCGATTGATATCCCAACATGTACGGTACAGAACGCTGTTTCTTTCTTCTCAGGATTATATTTCAGTTGATTAATTCTTTGAGTAGGCGTTAATTATTATTATTAGTCTGGTTGAGAAAATTGCGGTTGTTTTAATATTATTATTTTCATAATTTTTGGAGGAAACAGATGGAGAAGGTGAGGATGGAAGTGGAAGAGAAGCGAAGGAGGCAAGCGAGGAGGATTTTGGAGGCGATAGAGGTAGGGATGATGAAGATATTGAGGAACAAAGAGGAGGAGATCGAGAAGATGGGGAAACTGAATTGGGAGCTAGAAGAGCGAGTGAACTCGCTGTGTATGGAGAATCAAATATGGCGCGACGTGGCGCAGACGAACGAAGCGACGGCGAATGCGCTCCGGTGCAACCTGGAGCAAGTCCTGTCGCA